GTCTCGTGTGTCCGACCTAAAAAAAACGGCGGAGGCACGCGCGCGCAATCGCGCGGCATCCAGCGAAAACTACACGTGTATGTCTATGTGTGTAATGACTTTCACGACACTACACTGCACGGCGGAAGGAAATGGTGTACACCTCTCCGACTCGGCACGGCGGGGGGGTGCCGCCCCCGCCGCGGCGCTTTCCAAAAAAAAAACAAAAAAAGGCGTTCTCATTGTCAGCGCCCGCTCCGTACTGCTGTATGTATGTAGTTACATTGCTGTTGTGTCCCCGACGATCGTTTGTCCGTCTACAGGCACACTTGTTTAGTCTCTGTTTCGAGCGAGTGTGCGGGTGTACACCATCGTGCCCGGACCCACCTCTAGCCAGGGTGTCGCAGTATATGACCTTGTCAGGCTTTGCCGGCCGAGGGTGCCCGGCCGTGTGTTTCCAAAAGATAGAAAAATTAAAAAATGTGTTTGTTGTGCCGCACAACGGTCCATAAGTGCCGTTTCCTCGGTGGTGAGGTACCTCTCTGTCTCCTTTTCGCGCGAACATGCTGGTACACCATCGTGCCCAGACCCATATCTAGCCAGGGTGTGGCAGTGTATGACCTTGTCATGGATATGGACACTGCCACGGTGCGACAGGGTCTTGTGCAGGGTCGATTAGCCCACAAGGTCGTAGCAGGGTGAGCCGAATGGCTACGGGTGCAACAAGGTCAAGGCACAGAAGAGACCTGTCCATTCGACAACGAAGTCTGTTGTTGTTGTTGTCTACGATAGACTATGCTATCCCCCGCATCCATGCCCAGAGCAATTTCGTCTTTTTTGGTGAAGGACCGCTACCACGCATCAACCCTTTAATGACCCTGTATATGCCCACCGTCCTGTCGCTGGCAGCCCTCATGGCCTATGAGTGGAGATAGCTGTTCCGTCTACAGAAGTACACGCGTCTCTTTCTGCTGTACTTCTGTCTCTCTCTCCCGCATTCTGTCCTCCTCCCTATTTCTTTTTTGCTGAAAAAAAAAAGGAGCTACGATAGATAGACCCAAAGGGGTTAAGGGGTATTATTATCAGGCCGAAAAAATACGTATTCGGTTACAAAACAGTATTTTCTTGAAATATTTGGAGGCGTTCCTCTACGTTTCCGTAAAAAGAGCGAAGAAGTGTATTTGTTCTGGGCTTGCTCCTTTTAGGGGTATTATTATCAGGCCGAAAAAATACGTATCAGGTTACGAAACAGTATTTTCTTGAAATATATGGAGGCGTTCCTCTACGTTTGTTTCCGTAAAAAGAGCGAAGAAGTGTATTTTTTCTGGGCTTGCTCATTTTACTGTTCGGTGAAAAATTTCCCGCTTTTTTCGGCGATCGGAGCAGACACCGGTCGCGCGCGCTGTCTTCCTCACACCACACCTAGACAGCACCACCAACACCCCAAATCGCTTCCCGAGGCAACTCCATTACCATGGCTGAGCGCCGGAAGCGCCAGCATCCCAAGGGGCCCGCAGCGCAACGCCGGGAGAAGCGCCGTCGAGGAGCTATCGACGAGGTCGGTGCAGCCCAGGAGCACAGGAGATCTCTCACAGTCTTGGGTCTTCTGCGGGCCGTAGTAGTGGCGGCGGGCGTGGTGGCAGCAGGAAAAGCTCATTGTGCCCACTGCCCTCAGGAACGGGAGCAGCCCATCTACGAGCCCAAGCGGCTTCCGTGGGCCCAACACGAGGCGGACCTCGACAAACGGCAAGGCTGGCGGCGGTCGTACCGCATGGAGAAGGCCAGTTTCTACAAGCTTGTCGAGCTACTCCGCCCTTCGCTGGCAGTCAACGCCTTCTTCGGCGGTGAGGGTTGATGTGTAAATGCAGCCGCCCACGGCAGGTATGCGTAAGGCTTCCTGTCATGTATACGTAAAGAGCAACGGGGAAGAGCAAGTCTAAAACCCAGGAGAAACACTACTGCTGTACACTACCTTGCTGTTTGTCTACTATCTTTTTCAAAAAAATACTCCCTCGTCGAAACATGCAGCCAGGGTATGCATACACGCAACAACACTTCTTTCTACTGTACAGCAGTAGGTACAGCAGTGTCTGCATATGCATACAGCAGCAGTCGTTGTATGGGAAGGACAGGAAGGTACTATGGTGACGCTGAAATATGTTCAGCGGTATGAACAGAGCGTGCAACACACGCCGGCACCACTAAACATTATACATGCCTCGTCGGGAGCCTACGCAGGTTGTCGCATCCCGCAATGATAGCATACAAGAGTCGACACGTGCTCCTCAAATGCATATGCGAGGTTAGTTGTGTGTTCCGTGAAGAACACAGAGCCGTCTCACAACCCCAGTCGGGAGGTGTATTGGGCCGGTACTCTGGCGAGTTTAACAATGACATGCGTCCTTTGACGCTGGCGATTGCAAACACACCCCCTATGACACTGGTACATATTTCCTGACCGACACACGCTCATCCTGCGAAAATTATCTGCGCGTCGCTCCGAAACCCCACAGCACTGCGATCGCCAATCAACGGCGCCATAGCGTAGAAGTCCGCGTTGCCGTGGCGTTGAGGATCCTGGCTGGCGCTAGTTAGTGGGATGTTGCCCTCACGTTTGGCTTGTCGGTGCCGACCACGTACCAGATCTTATGGTCGGTGATCGACGCCATCAACAAGACGCCTGCGGTTGGGGCATTCGACTTCCCCCTGACCGAGGAAGGCTGGATGCGAAATGCCAACAGATTCAAGGTGAGGCCTAACGGTAGTCATTACTGCTGCTGTGGGTTATTATTGGTGGCATTCTCTTGACCAGCCGCGGGATGTCGTTTTTTTTTTAATTACGTCTGGCGTTTCCAGCCGTTTTAGTGTAGGGAGGCCCATGCACAGCCTACGACGGTAACGTAGGAAAAAAAATGTCGTCCCCGGCGGATACAAGTTCGGATTGTCATCGTGGTCAGCATGCCTATAATCGAAAAACAACCCCCGGGTTCCGGGTGGTTCGCCAGCAGTTGGTCTTTGTACAATGGCCTTTTTACAAATAAATGTTTTTTTGTGTCATCATTAGTGTATGCTGGCCGTGTTGGTTCCTCCCCGCAACAGTGGCCCCGCAACTGCTTTTAGTCAACCACGTGGCTCTGAGATACCCTGGTACGTTTTTACCGCTGAACCTGACGCAATATTAGGATTAGCAAACATGGTATGTGCACCGTTGCTGGTAATGGCGCCTTCGCACACGACATCAACCCACACAACGTACAGCCGAACGCAATTTACCGAAGTTCGTCAACGTCTATCTCTCGACTGATTTTTATCCCCTTCCCGGCAATGCTACTTTCCCGCCCTCGTGTCTGCCGTCTACAAATGCAGGAGAAGAGCACCTATGGCATTTCCTCCTGGGTCGTCGCCGCCGTGGATGGTCTGTTCATCAAGGCCAAGGCTCCGTGTGCGAAGGACACCGCCAACGTCATCGCGTACTACTCCGGCAGCAAGTCCGCGTACGGCATCAACGTACAAGCGACGTGCACCGCCGACTACCGGTTCTGCGCAATGTCGGCGATCTCTCCAGGCTCCACGAACGACTGGGTGGCATGGAATCGATCTTCCCTCGCCAAGGCCGTCGCCCGCTTGTCCGCCGGATTTCACATCATTGGTGACGCCGCCTACCCCATCGTAGAAAAGCTTCTGACGCCGTACCCTGGGAGGCTCCTGCCACCGGGTGAGGACTCGTTCAACTTCCACCTGAGCCAGCTTCGTGTCAAGATCGAGCAGAGCTTCTGGCGCGGGAGGGAGGTACCTCAATGTAGAGGGCGGAGGGCGCTGGAAGAACGTGTTTTGGGTATTAGTGCTAGGGTGTCGGCACATCCCGGGGAGAGGTGGGGGGTGTGATGTGTGACATGTTGATTCTCGCTGACATGTTTTGTGGGTGTCGGTGTGGAGCGTTCTGACCAGATGTGTCCGGGTACACTTGGTTCGTAATGTGTGTGTTCTTGCCGGCAACACTTTATGGTTAACATGCATCGTGTGCGGATGAAAGCGGGGTCCGGTAGGTCTCGGAGGGTGCTTGTTTTACCTAGGGCATTAAAAGTGTGGGCATGTTCGACTTTTTTTTTTCCTAATTAGGAGCGTGTGAATCGAAAACGTTGTTGTCGTTGATACAACTTGTAATGATGTCTCTGCATCCCTGCATTAAATATTCGTCGCGTGGGTGAAACATTGCTCCAGGTTGCAGACCTGAAGGAGACCGACACACACGCTAAAAATTGGGGTCCTGTCGAATCCCATCGCGAACACATTCCTGCGCTTCAAGTGAGCATGCGCGGAGACGGGAAAAATTGCAAGGCTCCTAATTTGCGGAACCCAAGCGTGCCTCAGAGTTCCCGCCAACACCCAACGTAGTATTGGGTTGCAAGAACAAGTCTTGCAAATAGGAAAACACCAAACGATATGCATGTCCGTAGATTGCCGGCACGGCAGGTTACCCGCAGGACAGCAATGTCTTCGTCGTTCTTCCACCGTTTTTTTTCGTTGATACTCCTTTGTTGCCGCAAGGCATCCTCTCAAAGCGTTGTTGCCTACCAAACCCATACGTCTATGCGGTGTTTGTCGGCCGTACTCCGCGTACTTATCGGGACTTGTTTGTGTAGTGTATTTACTTCAGACGGTGAGACAACGCCCGTACCCAGGACGCTGTCGTGCTCGGAAAGGAGGAGGAGAGAGAGAGAGAGAG